ATTTTTATAAAAATAGTTCTAACCCTTATTAAAGTTATTTTTTAAAGCAATACATGCATTAAAATCTCACTCCATTACTACGGTATCCATGTCAGTTTCTACCTCTGCAACCTGTTCATTAAGGAATGACTAAGTTACACTTTGCATCACCTGGTTATTTTGCTCTAATGTATATAAAACTAATTTTAATTTTCTTTATTTTGAAATTCTAAAAGTTTGCTTAAAATTGTAATCTCATTCAGAAGAAAATACAGCTAGTGATGGTACACTTCAATCTCCCCCCCATCAATGAGTCCAACCTAACCTCCTCCATCAGCATCTAGTAACCTGCTGCCACCACCTGGGATTAAAGCACACTGGGTTTAAAACTGTTATAGCTCACATGTACTCACTCTGATCAACTGACACAGCAGTAACTTTGTCATTTGGTCTCCCGGAGTTTTCAGGGTCATCCAGATTTTGCTCCTTATTAACTTTGGGGGCAATAGCTCTAGGTGCTGCTTCATTTGGCCCAGTGAATTTCTCCCTGAGCTTAGCAACTCTGCCACTTCCCTCCTCATCCATATATTTCTCAGTACCTGCGAAACAAAAAAGACCAATCTGGTTAAACAAGACTTCTAATAGACATAATCATGGCAAGGGTTAAAGGGGAACACAGTTTTTTTTACATTGGCCCCTTGATTTTACTTTATTACATCATGTTCTACTCACCCATATTAGTGTTGTGTCATTTGGAGCCGTTTCGAAGATATTCGTATTTGTAATATCCAAGTATCCTAGTCTTCCTATTGACAACAAGTTGAAGGCACAAAGTAAACTGTTCACAATATATTCTTTATGGTACACCAGCATTCATAACATGTAGGTGAATCACTGTCCCCAGACATCCGCGGTTATCTATTTTATATTTTTTTTAAACAAAGCGGAGTGTGTATGACGTCATAAGCGCGCCCCGGCTACCATTCATTCATCCTACCGCTGAACTGCTGCTAGTTTGACTCACATGCCTGGAAGATGTCTAGTGCTACTATCACAGTTGATCTCGCTCTCAAAATGGAATTGAACGTTTCAGATTAGCTAGCTGAACGAATAGAAGGGGTAGAGCGTAGCCGCCTGTGTCCCGGGCAGCAGTCACAACTCCAGTCCGGCGCGCGGATGATGTCATACACACTCCCATTTGTTTAAAAAAATATATAAATATAAAAAACATAACCGTGGATGTCTGGGGGACAGTGATTCGCCTACATGTTATGAATGCTGGCGTACCATAAAGAATAAATCATGAACAGTTTAGTTTGTGCCTTCAATTCGTTACCCATAGGAAGACGTTACTTGGATATAACCTAACACCTCCAAATGACACAAAACTACAGTGGGGCAAAAAAGTATTTAGTCAGCCAATAGTGCAAGTTCTCCCACTTAAAAAGATGAGAGAGGCCGGTAATTTTCATCATAGATAAACCTAAACTATTAGAGACAAAATGAGAAAAAAAATCCAGAAAATCATATTGTCTGATTTTTAAAGAATTTATTTGCAAAATATGGTGGAAAATAAGTATTTGGTCA